ATCTTTTACATGGTCAAGAATAAAGTCAGAGTTCAAATTGCTGGCTTCATTTCTAAGTTCATAAATTATTGTATCAATATTTCTACTTTTTCCATTTGTAGAAAAAAATACTTGTAATAGAGAGAGTTTCCACATATTTGAACAGCAGACCTTTAACATGGAGTAGAGTGTTTACATTGGCTGGATCAAAATTGTCAGCAAACAAGTTAAATTCTCTAAATGTACTCGGCAAAACGTCTCTATAGAAGTCTGATGTTTTGCATATTGGAATATTGAAATATCTATTTGTCCTTAATGGATAACATTGTATTATGATACATAAACAGCTGTACTAAATCTTACAGATGCTGTGTACTCACGCCATCATGTATCCTAAGCATTAATATTAATTGATGTTTCTAATATTCATCAGAAAAAGTTTCCCAAGTTTTTGTATAACTTATAATTGGACTCTAGCAGTTTCTAAATGAACAGATTCTAGCAACTATTTAGATTGTTGCATGAAATTGTCCTGTGAAATTGTTCCATAAAATTGTCCAATGAAATCGTCCAATAACATGTACATCTACATATTCCAAAATATGTAACATATGTGGTAAACAATTCTTAAATGGTTTTTCTTGAATTTCCTTTTTTTTAAGTGATTTCAATAAAGTTAAATGCTATCTCCTACTTATAATATACATTATAAAGATTTAGAAAATTTAGAAAATATTCAGAGAATATTACACCAAAGCGTTTATAAAAAACAAGGAGGTTGAACTGGGCCATTATCAAAACAATATCTATTCCTGGTGAATATCTTGGATACAGTTTTTGAGAAGTTAACATTGATGTCCAACATCTACCACCAAGCATTAAAATTTCGAAGATTTTCTGATATTTTGTTAGTTACTTCAGTATTGTTATTTCACTAAAGGACATTTTATCAGCAAACAATTTTATGTCACTATTTACAATATCAGCACTATGGTGTATAACAGAAATAACATGGCCCTTAATCTGATTGATCCCTGTGGAATTCCAGCTCTATTCTATATAACAGAAATAACACAGACCTTAATCTGATCCCTGTGGAATTCCAGATCTATTCTATATAACAGAAATAACACAGACCTTAATCTGATCCCTGTGGAATTCCAGCTCTATTCTATATAACAGAAATAACACAGACCTTAATCTGATCCCTGTGGAATTCCAGATCTATTCTATATAACAGAAATAACACAGACCTTAATCTGATCCCTGTGGAATTCCAGATCTATTCTATATAACAGAAATAACACAGACCTTAATCTGATCCCTGTGGAATTCCAGCTCTATTCTATATAACAGAAATAACACAGACCTTAATCTGATCCCTGTGGAATTCCAGCTCTATTCTATATAACAGAAATAACAAGGACCTTAATCTGATCCCTGTGGAATTCCAGCTCTATTCTATATAACAGAAATAACACAGACCTTAATCTGATCCCTGTGGAATTCCAGCTCTATTCTATATAACAGAAATAACAAGGACCTTAATCTGATCCCTGTGGAATTCCAGCCATAACATATTAATAAGTTTTTAAGACAGATTTTTGTATTTTTTCAGTCATTCAGAAAAGATTCAAATTTCAAGAGGTATTGTGTCTTGAATTAAATCCATTATTTCACTTTGAACTAATCTTTACCTTTCCGAAAGTGTAGTAGAGTTTAAATCTGTGAAATAAGTCAGTATCACTAATGTTACTGTTATTCCTAACATAATCAGTGTTATCATATCCAAGCATTCTTTTCTTATATGACGTTTGTTGACACACTGAATATTATAAGTCAAAGTGGTAAGGTGCTCCCTGCATACCGGACTAAAAAAGAATGTATTTTCTTGAACTTTCATTTCAATCAGATCTTACACACTGAACATTATAAGTCAAAGTGGTAAGGTGCTCCCTGCATACCGGACTAAAAAAGAATGTATTTTCTTGAACTTTCATTTCAATCAGATCTTACACACTGAACATTATAAGTCAAAGTTCTTAAGACAACTGCTTACTACATACGGGACTAAGAATGAATGTATTTTCTTGAACTTTCATTTCCGTCAATATGTTTGCACTGTCTACGCATTACATATTCAGGGCCCACTATCATAAAACTGTTCTTTGATAATGATAAGAGAAGAAAAAACTGTTGACTAAAACCATTATCCAGTAATACCTTTTATCTTGAGTGGATGCAGTGTCCACGTGACAACATTGATCGTCATGGTTACATTAAATATTGAATGACCATATAACATCCACTAACTACTAATGGGCATTAATTAATTATCTATATATTTTTCTTCAATATTTTCAAGCTTGATGAGTTTCAGCGATTCACAAAGTTATTTATAGGGCTCTGAGACAGTCACACAACAAAGTCATTTGTTCACTTGCTTTTTACTAGTCTGATCAGGTTAGCTATCCCAATCCAAAGTTATCTGATGACAGTTATGAAACATTAAACTAAAAGCAATTCATCAACTAGCTTGTTTTGAAGGTAGTGTGACGAAGCTCGTGAAAACCGCAAACAACAGGCCCAATGGATCTGAATCAAACAACCGATCTACAGCTCACCCCCCGGTACACAGAAGACTTTATCATTAAGTTTCTGCTAACTTGTAAGCCTTGTATTGAAGATATTAAGCAGGTCAGGTTAAGAAAGATGTCAGAATAACCAGGGGTCACGTTAAGCAAGATTTCAGAATACCCAGGGGTCAGGTTAAGAAGGATGTCAGAATACCCAGGGATCAGGTTAAGAAGATGTCAGTATACCCAGGGGTCAGATTAAGAAGCATGTCAGAATACCCAGGGGTCAGGTTAAGAAGGATGTCAGAATACCCAGGGTCAGGTTAAGCAAGATTTCAGAATACCCAGGGGTCAGGTTAAGCAAGATATCAGAATACCCAGGGGGCAGGTTAAGCAAGATATCAGAATACTCAGGGGCAGGTTAAGCAATATTCCAGAATACCCAGGGGTCAGGTTATACAGAATGTTGGAACACTCTGCAGGAACATGCAGATAACCAAAGAATTTATCCTCAGATCCATTTCATTTCAGAGTATTTGTCGAAAGTTTTAACTATTTATCATAGTCTTATTTCTACAACTACACTAACTGACAAATGCCATGTTGTATTCTGTAAACCAGAGTTGCTGGTGAATGTCACTGACAATGTATATACAACCTTGAAGAATGTAAAGACATTAAATGGTAGTTTGTTTACCAAATGTAAACAAATCCAACATATGTCAACAAACTTCAGCTACCATCTCACTGACTACTTCAAACTAATTGGTTATATATGGGTTTGTATCTGTAGAGACTTGACACCCTCTATTTACCTATACAATAATGGTATAATACATCAGAGTAGCCTGCCTTTAACTTGCTTAACACCTATTTGATGAGCTATTCTTAGTATTTACATTGTTACATTCTGCCAGTAAAATGAAGAGAAGTCTGGAGTTAGTATCATCATTCCATCAGATGACCAACACAACACCAATTTACTGAAACACTAAAAAATTGGTTTTCTTATCAAGAAGACTTATTTAATAAAAAGAAAAAAACAACTAATAGTATGAAGTTTTTTCAAAATCCTTGAAGAACCAATTTTTACAAAATCCTTGAAGAACCAATTTTTACAAAATCCTTGAAGAACCAATTTTTACAAAATCCCGGAAGAACTGCAGTCATTTATGATCTGAAAAGGGATAAGAAAATGGAAATATCTAGATTTGGGTAAAATCTTCTGCAACTCCTTCCCCAGCCACCCGCACACAAAAGAGTAGAACAAACCTTAGATATGTGGCTATTGCTGGCAAATGTCGAAGGATTTGAAAACAGTGGTACATATTGTCCTCACAACAAACATATTTCTATTACTGAACATGCTCTGGCAGTCATTTTACCAATAAGTGAACATTTACGTGATCAGTGACATATCCTTTCTATAAGATGAAATACCCAACAGATCCATTACGTTTCAGTATCCATTGTCACCACTTCACGGCTCACTAGTAATTGCATCATTTTACAGTTGGAAATTACATTTAATTCAGCAGAGTGAATTAAAATTTTTCATCGTGCAAATTTGGCATTGTATTAATAATTGACTCATTATTATCGCTGTTAGGTATGTGTAGCTGTCTGTCTGATATACAGAATGATCTAGATACAAGGGAAGTTGTGTTATTATAAATGCTTGTCTAGGGGAGATGTCTGATAAAATCTCTGTCAATATTATATATATACACACATCATACAAACTTAATAATTAGATTAATAATTTATAATAACAATAGGATCTATTGATCAGGTTACATTTACTATATATATATAATATTTCATATCATCCCAAAATAGCAGTCAAATAATCTATACCAACAAAGTGAATAAAGGCTTACAAAACTCTACCCCACAACCCTAAATCTTGTACACAGGTTTTTTATTTGCAAAGTGGTCATGGGTGACCTTTGACCCTTAACAGTGATCAATGGCCACCAAAATCTAACCATAAATAGACTTTGATGATATACTATGGTGAGTATATGGACAAAATATGTTGAAGGGTTTGTGAGATATCTTGTACACAAGGTTATAATGGATGCTTGAAATGATAAGGTTTAGTATGTACAGATCAGCAGTAACTATGGTTACTTACTACAATGCTTACTGGGTTTGGTGTGATGAGACTGGTTACCACGGTAACTTACCACAGTGGAGGATGGGTAACTTCTGTTTAGTATGTAGAGATTAGTGGTTACCATGGTTACTTACCACAGTGGAGGCTGGGTAACTTCTGTTAAGTATGTAGAGATTAGTGGTTACCATGGTTACTTACCACAGTGGAGGCTGGGTAACTTATATTTAGTATGTAGAGATTAGTCGTTACCATGGTTACTTACCACAGTGGAGGATGGGTAACTTATATTTAGTATGTAGAGATTAGTGGTTACCATGGTTACATACCACAGCTGTGACCAGGTTACTCAGGTTTGGTATGTAGAGGTTAGCTGTTATCAAGGCCAGACCATGCTGAGGTTTGTAGATATCTGGGGTGCAGATGACATATTCTGGTAGGTCCATGTCTGGTTCCTGATTAGCCAAGGGTCCAGGACCCCATCCAATCGGAGTGGCCTTCACCCTCTTTATTCTCTATCAAAAGAGACGTTTATAAAATGTAATTTTTTATGATTTGTCTTTTCAAAAAGTAAGCAAACATTAAGTGCAGTTCTCCTTAAGTTTGTAAGGTGAAAAGAATAGCAATATTTATTTCACATCATAAATTCTGCTCAAGACATCAATTTTCTGATTGCCTCTTACCTACCATAGCAGTGCTTGAAATATGGAATGAATACTAGCTCTTCATTTTAGGGTGTAGGACCCTTGTTCAGTTCATACTGAGAACTTAAGATGTTCTCCATGTGATTTTTTAAATACCAGTATATACAAAAAGACCTCATCACATAATGTCCCACTGACGAAGGATATATATTTACATGTAAAACTGATAACCTGAACACAGGCGAAAAATGTAAATCCCACGTCAAACTGATATACCACTCAATGTGACGATGATATAGATTTATTGATCAGTTCTGAAGGCGTCAATTCAACGCCTTTCTAATAACAGTAAAATATTCCAATCTTCTTTTTACACACTTCATATGTAAATCATTTCTTCTTCAAAGAATTCTGTCTTATTATTTACATCAAAAGCAACAGAAAATGTATGCATACACTTTTTTTCAGCATTTCCCAACATCCATCTGTGACCATCTTGCATAAAGTCGTATGAAGTCACGGAGCACTAAGTAAGTTTAAACAAGATCAAACAGCGGAACTGTTGTTTTCTATAGTTGGTTATTTTTATATTTATCTACATCAACAAAAAATAATTGTATCTGGTAGTTAAGACCTTACATTAATTAAAAGACAGAGAAGGCTTTTGTAAGAAAAGAGTAAATTTTTAACAAACTTGAAATCCAGATGTTGACATTTCAATATGCAGTCTTATATTGTTGATGTTGTTTTACTGTGGTGTGAACATGAGCAGTGTGTTGTGGCTTTCATGAGATAATGTGTCAAAGATGACCTTTAACCTTGACTAACAACCACTTAAATCAGCTCATCTTTACTGTTTAATACTGTTAAACATCATTTTGACCTTTAATCTTGACCAACAACCCCTAAATCCACTCAGCTTTACTGTTCAATACTGTTACACATCATTTTGACCTTTAACCTTGACCAACAAACCCTAAATCCACTCATCTTTAGTGTTAAATACTGTTAAACATCCTTTTGACCTTTAACCTTGACCTTATACTGAAAACAGGCAAATCAGTTGTTTCAACCAGGGGAGATAACCCAAAGGCCTAAAATAAAGCTGAGTCATGGGAGGAAATGTTGTTAAGAAAGATAAAAGATCAGAACCCTCCTGTAAATAATGCAAAGGGAACAGCAGGTATAATTCTTAAACCAGCAGGACAGACTCAGAAATACACCTTGTTGTTGGTATACTTAAACACTACCAGCAGGACAGACTCAGAAATACACCTTGTTGTTGGTATACTTAAACACTACCAGCAGGACAGACTCAGAAATACACCTTGTTGTTGGTATACTTAAACACTACCAGCAGGACAGACTCAGAAATACAACTTGTTGTTGGTATATTTAAACACTACCAGCAGGACAGACTCAGAAGAATATTACTTCAGTGAAGGTAAAAAACACTCCTCAGTTCTGTTTCTCAACAGTCCTTTAACATTTCATTGCAATAGTGTCAGTAAAACCTGTGCAGAAATTTAAAATGTGTTTTCGAATTGATTTTAGTCCCATCCCACTAGTGGAACTTAAGAAGTTTGAAATAGGTGTTGTTCGGAGAGACTGCAAAATCATGTTACAAAATGGCCACCATTGCTATTATATTGAACTTTTGATGAGGCTGAGAAATAACATCCATTTTTCTGCTTCCCTTCCTAAACATCCTCAGCAATTTTCAGTTCAGTGACACTACTGGAACCATAGAGCTTGAAATGTGTTTTTCAAGATTGCAGCTACACTGGATTTTGAACCAATACCAAAGATAAAAACTCGGTCAAGACCATCTCAGGATCATTTCAGTTTCAGCTAAATCTATTGGCACACAACAACAGACAAAACACTACAGCTATAGGTCAACCTGACCCTTCAAGTCAACTGACCAAATAACAGAGCGAAACCAATTAATATATTCCCAAAGTCTTTTCATGTTTATTGTCATTGTAACCAAACCGCAACCAATTTTTTTTCGACAACATTCTTGTAAAACGTATGTAATTATTTACCTGTATAAATGGGTCGGATCCCTGCAGGAGGACTCTAATCATTTCCAGAGGTATAGGTAAGATAAGGATGAAGGTAAAAATCCATCCAATCGGTGTTGTCCAGTCTGGATACATGTAAGCTTTGTAGGTGAGTCGACTGTCAACCACTATTGTCAGCACCAACAGGGCCTATAGTTAACACAATGCTAATTTCTAGTTTTATATAAACAACATCTTATCTTTTGATTTATCTTACTTTAGATGTTTGTTGGTGAAGATAGAGAACAGGAAATATGTTTTTAAAAAGTGTTATGATCATCAGAAGCTTTTTACTACTTTGGTAAAGTCAATGAATGATTCCAAACTACTGTTTACCAGTCTGGAGTAACAAGTAAGAGAAATGTATATCCTTTTCTATTGCTGTGATTTATAACGGAATTAAAATGGTATCAACATTGGACTAGTGTAGACACTGGTATTGATAGAGAGTTATGTCTCACCAGTAGTGACAGTGGTAAACAGAGTTGTGTCTCACCAGTATTGACAGTGGTAAACAGAGTTGTGTCTCACCATTATTGACAGTGGTATAGAGAGTTGTGTCTCATCAGTATTGACAGTGGTATACAGAGTTGTGTCTCACTAGTATTGACAGTGGTATACAGAGTTGTGTCTCACCAGTAGTGACAGTGGTATACAGAGTTGTGTCTCACCAGTATTGATAGTGGTATAGAGAGTTATGTCTAACCAGTATTGACAGTGGTATAGAGAGTTGTGTCTCACCAGTATTGACAGTGGTATAGAGAGTTGTGTCTCACCAGTATTGACAGTGGTATAGAGAGTTGTGTCTCACCAGTATTGACAGTGGTATAGTCATGTCTCAAAAGTATTGACAGTTGTATAGAGAGTTGTGTCTCACCAGTATTGACAGTGGTATAGAGAGTTGTGTCTCACTAGTATTGACAGTGGTATACAGAGTTGTGTCTCACCAGTATTAACATTGGTATACAGCATTGTGTCTCACCAGTATTGACAGTGGTATACATAGTTGTGTCTCACCAGTAGTGACAATGGTATACAGAGTTGTGTCTCACCAGTATTGACAGTGTTGTAAAGACTTGTGTCTCACTAGTACTGACAGTGTTGTAAAGACTTGTGCCTCACTAGTACTGACAGTGTTGTAAAGAGTTGTGTCTCACCAGTATTGACAATGGTGTAAAGAACTGCCAGGTGATCTTCCACCAAGGACTGTCCACGCTCCCTGTCATGTCAGCCACATTGTTGGAAAGTCTTTGGGTGCCATACAACCATGTTAGGACTATACACTCAATCAGGGTGACCATAAACAGGTCTAGCCTACATACAACACTGCTCACTAGATGGGTCAGATACAGACCAGCCTGGGGATATAGAAATTTTGGTTAAATTCAAAGAAAATTGATATCCATTTAAAAAAAATTTCCCCTAATTTTTTTTTAATTGAAATCTGGAAAAAGATATTTAAGAGAAAATTATCTGAAAAATCGACTGTTTATAGATCTATATTGATAGAAATTAATATTCAAACGAAAACAAATTAAAATTATGTATCAGTCTCCTTTCATAAACAATTATCAAAGACAATAATAATGGGAGTCCTTCTGTCCGTTTTACCTGTGAAGTAAACAGCAATCCCAGGGCCATCAGGACAGTACAAGTCAACAGCTGTACCAAGTATTTCCAGCGGAACAACCTTTTGATTTTTAACACGAGCAGTATACCTGACAAGACATTCTCTACATACACTGACTGTGTGTGAAGACCAGTGAGGACCAGTAACAGGAATAGTATCACTGTCCATATCCTAGACACCTCCATCTTGTATAGCACTGACGGGAATATGGTAAACACAAGCTCCCATGCTGTGGATGGAAATTACATAAACAAGTTCCCATGTTGTGGTTAGAAATTATATAAACAAGTTCCCATGTTGCGGATGGAAATTACATAAACAAGTTCCCATGTTGTGGTTAGAAATTATATAAACAAGTTCCCATGTTGCGGATGGAAATTACATAAACAAGTTCCCGTGTTGTGGTTGGAAATTACATAAACAAGTTCCCGTGTTGTGGTTGGAAATTACATAAACAAGTTCCCGTGTTGTGGTTAGAAATTACATAAACATGTTCCTGTATTGTGGTTGAATTTCATCCTCCTTATTACAAGAAATACGAAATTAAAATCCTTCTTCGTACCAATCTTCCTATGACCCATGAACAGTTGCTAGAATAAAGCAAGGGGTTTGTAAAACATAAATGCCGCCATCCTTTAACAAATTTGTATCACTGCTTGAAAAGACCTTTCTATAAACTTGATAAAAATCTTTAAACAATTAATAAGTTATTAGTGCAATGGCACCAATTCAAGGCATTATAGGATGGAAAATGAGTTAATATGAAAAATCTATAGAAAATTTGTCTAGGCTGTGTACCTTAGTAACATTACTACAAAACCTACATGAAAAGTTGAGTTTTGTGATGTCCAGTTCTTTGGTCTGACTATACACCCCCAGCATGGAGAACATTGTAAATCCAGTTAGGATGACTCCAAACAGGTGGGCCATGACAATGATTAGAGAATTCCTGTGGAAATTGGTAGAAACACGATCAGGGTGACCTAAAACATTTTGGCTATAATGTATACACTTCATCTGTTTCTTAACTATATAACAATTAAATGACATTGTTTAAAACTTACATTCACATTGAAGCTGCGATGAAAATGAGCTACAGCTAAATTTTAATCGAAATCAGTGAAGCATAAAATATAAGTCACTGTGACCTATTTCTGATTTCGTCTTGTAGTATTTATTTAAGCATTAAAGCATGACAATTTCTGCTGAGTTACACAGTATAACAAAATATCTTATAGACCATTGGAGAGGCCAACTTGTCTGATGTTCCTCCACAAGATCAGGGTTTCAAAAAATGCTTGAAACCTTTTCTGGTATAACATCACATCAGAATTTTACAGGCCATGGAATAACTTTTATAAATAGACAACATCATCATGACTTTGACCTTAATCCAGATGATGACAAGAGTAAGACAGAGTAATATACAAACCTAAAGCAGTGACTGTGAAAGTGAGTATAACTAGCTAATGTTGTCAAGCATCCTGTCCCTAGCCCCAGCGACAGGAACACCAATTGTCCAACGTCCCTCCACAGCTGGCAACAAATCAACGCTTATTACCACTATTGTAAAATGTACCATGTTAAGATAGACAGTCATCAGTTTGTTTTTCATATTCAACAGAGAAAAAGTCTAATTAATTCTGAATTTTTTTCTGTGGTTTACTTCTTGCCAATTTCTTAATAGATGAAAGTTACAGATACAAAACAAAAATTTTATCACAACTATACAGAAGAATCTCCACCAATAAGATACAAGGTCGCTGTAAGTATACAGTAGGGATTATAGTCAGACTCCACCAACAGCTTAAGATACAAGGTCATTGTAAGTATACAGTAGGGATTATAGACAGTCTCCACCAACAGCTTAAGATACAAGGTCATTGTAAGTATACAGTAGGGATTATAGACAGTCTCCACCAACAGCTTAAGATACAAGGTCATTGTAAGTATACAGTAGGGATTATAGACAGTCTCCACCAACAGCTTAAGATACAAGGTCATTGTAAGTATACAGTAGGGATTATAGTCAGTCTGTATCACCTATAATGATAGTACAATGCTTCTCTGTAATGTTACAAGAGGAAAAAAATTCTAAATGTTCTAGTTTAACAATAAACACATTCCTATATATATTGAAAAACCAGATTTGTTTGTCTTTTTACGTGATAAATAATATGAAGCAGGAAATGAACTTTTTAACACCTGTATAGAAATGACGGGACTAAATCTTCAAGTTACACATCATTTTGTAGACAATCAGAATCATACACTGATGTGTCTTATCTCAAGGAATCTTTGTCACATTTCTGTTTTTATCTGTTTTTTCTGAATTCTCTCCATAAATATATTGATGTTTCTTCCTTAACTTTTTGAAACTGGAAAGATTTGTGCACAGGTTTAAACATGACTAAAGGGAGATAACTCCCTTATATCTTATAATTACATATTGATTCAGTCGACTAATGGCAAGGTTCAGAATACACACACGTACATGTCATTGTTCTAAAATTATCTTATATATGAAAATCACCAAGTTTATTACATAATTGGACTAGTGCACCTCCCCATCTACATTTTTTACTTTTCTAACACTTCAGATTTTCCTCAGTTGCCTTCTTGGCTTAAAATTTAAGCCCTTAGCATCATTGCTGAGTCCTAGAAGGACAAAACAGCTGTATGATGTAGCATCACTGATGAGTCCTAGAAGGACGAAACAGCTGTATGATGTAGCATCACTGCTGAGTCCTAGAAGGACAAAACAGCTGTATGATGTAGCATCACTGCTGAGTCCTCGAAGGACGAAACAGCTGTATGATGTAGCATCACTGATGAGTCCTAGAAGGACGAAACAGCTGTATGATGTAGCATCACTGCTGAGTCCTAGAAGGACGAAACAGCTGTATGATGTAGCATTACTGATGAGTCCTAGAAGGACGAAACAGCTGTATGATGTAGCATCACTGCTGAGTCCTTGAAGGACAAAACAGCTGTATGATGTAACATCACTGACGAGTCCTAGAAGGACGAAATAGTTGTATGATGCAGTTTAATTCATTGTTTGGCTCTTCTGTATCTAACTCTAAAGTATTAAAATGTACTATTTAACTTGTGTGTCTTTTGTAGGATCTTATAATCATCAGTCCATATGTTCATACAGTTATATCTATAAAACATTGAAAATCAAGGAATCTTAAATAGAATAATAAATAAAAATTCCACTCAAATGAACATGAAGCATGATTTGTCTATAATCTGTTCAGGTTTATTATACTGAGTTTATATAAAGAATATCAACATACTGCCCCTATCTTCGGCTGACCTGGGGATTACCTAGCGTACTCCACTGCAGATTGAGGAAGAACTTGATGCCGAGGATGGCGCCCTCCTCTAGACAGCAGCGCACCAACAGTGAAAAGTACAAACCAGTTGATAATCCAAATGTCATGTACACGACCTGTCACATAAAGGTCAAATGCCATAGTGCAAGTCATAGGAGGCAAACTTAATATGATGATTATGACAGGCTTAGATTTTATTTTATATATAAAACAAATGAACTGTTTTGATTCAACAATAAGCCCATGTCTGGTAAAATAAGCTAAAAATAGATAAATATCATTGGTTACTATATGTTTAATTCATTATTCTAATTCCAAAATCTTTTAAGAACTATTATTAACCAGCATAGTTTCCTTTACACTGTTATCCTGACAGAACAGAGTTATACTGTAAACACATTAAATATAGCAAAACAAACTGTTATCTCATTATCACTTTTGACAAATTTGTACATTGAAAATGATTGTTACAATAAAAAAAGATACAAAATCTGTTATTGATGCAATTATAATGAAGGACCATGCCTTCAACATGAAAAGACAAACAGCTAGCAACTTACAGTACAGAACTCACCTTACCAAATGACCTCGGCCCAGTAATTGTTACGAGGAAGGTGATGCTCCAGACACCAACAAGACACAGCATGAGAGGCCACTGTAGCTGACCTATCACTGCCAGACCACTCGAGATTTTCAGGACATCAGCACTAAGGTTTAACAGTTTTGATAAATACTTTGACATCCTATCTTCAAAATACAGTTGTTTTGGTTATCTAAAATGAACCATCTCAACTATTCTTCTCTCAAAAATGGAAATGTCCATCCCCCAAACAATAAAATGTTTCAAAACTATTTTCATGTGACTGTTTATTAATTATATATATGTATTTTGTTTAGTAAATGACCTTCACCTTTGACCTTGTGACTGAAAGTGTTTGATGAGACAACTACAGAGTACATGCAAATAATTTTCCATAAATAGTTACCTAGAGACCTTCAAGTTTGAAACTTTCATCTGATGAGTAACTGTGATGTTTTAAATAAGTATGTAAGTCCTCTGATGTGGTTCTTTAATAACAAAAAATAAATCAATTTATTCAGAGAAACTTAACTTTTAATTTTCTAACTTGAAAAACGATTGTCCAAAACATGCACGTTTCGCAAAGAAGTTCTGTATTTACATTCAAAGAGTGGAATCTAGAACTGGAAGCTAGAAAACAAATGGTAGCTAGAAAACACAAGAGGCCCAAGGGGCCTTAACGGTCACCTGAGGAATATATATGTCAGTAATCTGGGGATTTTAAAATGTTGCAAATATGTAACAACACTTGTGCAGGACCGTGTGTAAAACATCTGTACCAAGTTTGAACATGATCCACCCAGTGGTTCTTGAGAGGAAGGGTGGCCATCTTGGATTTTGAATTGCCCCAAAAAGTTAAAACACTTGCCAGGACCTTGTGTAGAACATTTGTATCAAGTTTAGACATGATCAACCCAGTGGTTAATCTGACTGTTGGTTCATGAGATGAAGATTTTTAAAGATTTACCTAATTTTACCACCTTTTCCCCCCTTCTGGGGCCCCTATTGGGAAGGTTTCTGCAAAATTTCATCAAAATCTGATCAGGAATTTTTGAGAAGTCGAAAATGTTGAATTGTTTACAGAAGCACAGTGCTGGATGAAGATGATCGCAACAGGTCACCATGAGACTTCGTCTCAGGTAACCTAAATTTTTTTTTGAAAAGTCTTCACCAAAGTTTACTGAACAGTGTATCAGATAGCTTATACTTAAGTTCAGGTCATAAACAAATGCAAATTAAAGACGAGATAGGTTTCTAAACACAGCTTACTAGAAAAACTGGTTCTGTTTATCAGCAATGACATCTAAAGAGATGCTCGGTGTGGTAGAAACGTTGTTCAGCAGATACGAACTCGAGGTGTCAAACACTTCTTTGCCTACACCATTAGGACCTGACTGGTTCACGCTGGAATACGGCCAGCATCTCTCTGTATAGATTTTTAAAAAAAAAGAACTCATCAGGAGGAATTTTTCGATACACATTTTCATGTAGATCATTCTCAAGATTCACTGTGCAATTTTTACCTTTACTTGTATTTTACCCTTCTTCGACAACTTCAAGTTAAAATTATGATTTTGATGTTTTTCACTGGCCTTTCATAAATTATCCTTTACTTGTCTATTGTTAGTCCTAAAAGGGACACTTTGTGTTATAACTGGGCACAATATTGATAAGATGCCTCTTAGAAGAAAATATTGTCTACCAATGTTTTGTACTTCTAAAGCTGATATATTTTTTTAATATTTACATATGATAGAGTTACTCCCCTTGGTATGAAAATGTCTACTACATTACTTTTATTGATAATTTCTAGAGGTCACATCTAATATGTCCTGAGAGAATTTACATCATCTTTTTAAAACTCATCATTAAAGTAGACATGCCTCAGTTGTTTATCACTGAATCTGACAGATACTCTTTGATACCAGACAAACAACCAATCAGGTGATTCTAAACCCTCTCCACTAAATTTGTTGCAATTAAGACATAATAATGTTAGCATGGTCTCCTATGAAATAGAGATAATGTAAAATGTGATCCAGTATAGAACAGGGAGTTAATTCAATGTTTTATCCCAGATATTTCAGTGTAATACTGTTAAAGATACAAAACAATATTGCTGACTAAACTAAGTACTGTAGAATGAAAGAGAAAAATAAAGAGGTTTACCCTTTAATTCAACATGTATTCAAATTTAAAAGAAGTATCTTTTTCTTAAATTTGAAAAAAAATTCTTGCCTTTCCCATGAAATTCAGCACTGAAATTACTTTAAATGTCATCCATGCGCCCACAAGTTAGTAAAAGCAAAGTGAACCAATCAATCAGTATGCAGGAATCTCAAGTAGCTGACCTTCAATCACCAAGAGCTCAGCCTGCAGGGGCCCTAGACAATATCATTGATCTGAACAATCACCACACCATTCCTAGGCTGTGACTACTCGTAACTTTTTTTATATTCCTGGTTACCAATAAATGCACAGTCATTCATTGCAAACCAAGTGACAACAGAATCAATTATCATATTTCAGGAATTCACATTGTGGCTGATTATTGTCAATCAAAAATACTCTCATCTTAAAATCTCTTCTGATAGGAAACAGACTTTTTATTCATCCCAACGGCATTTTCAGTAATGATCTGTCATTCAATACCACCTTACTGCCAACACATTATGTTGTTAACTTTCCAATAGGTAGGTGTACAGAATCCTGATGATGTCTTGGAGACGTATCAATATGGCTGTCGGTGGCTCTAACACCACAATTATATGACCTGTGTAATGGGTAACTCTATAAATATCAGAACAGTCATGGCTCGTCTGAAGAGGATATAGTTTTTAACCCTAAAAACCAACACAGTTAATTACATCTTCAAATGACAAAGTACTCTAACAAAAATCTATCTATTCTTCCACGTCTTTGGTAACAATAAAGGGCAATAACTCTATTTTTGGTAATTTTCACCCCTACATATTCTGATAAAATTATGGAAATGTTTTTTTTTCCCCTTTTGCTTGTTTTTTGTTTTATTTTTCCCCTTTATAAGAAAAATTTGTTAAATTTTAACTTTTTTGTTTTTGTTTTTATTTTGTTTTTTGGAAGCACAATTTATTTCTGCTGAAATTCTGTTGGGACTAAGTATTTATTTAGAAGCTGGACAAGACAGAAAGACAGATAATTATAAAAAGAAAGATCAAATAATACAGATCTTACCTGTTGTACATGTCCCTGGCAAAAAAGACATCAGTGACCTGACCAGGTAGTACATAGCATACAGCAGAGATACGTGGTTGTAGATACTGACTGTGATAGACACCAGAATCATACTGACACCCAAACCTGTTTATAAATTTATGTTATACACCATTAACAATCGTCCAAATTGCATCCATTTTCAGTTTTAAAATAAAATATTGTGCATATTAAAACTCTTTTATAAAAAGAATGTTCTTGATTTAGAAAAAACGTTATTTTGAACAAAAAAAAAAAGGAAAATAAAAGGTGCATATTTTTTAATTTGTTTTTAAAGAATGCTTGTTTTTCTGAACTTCTAAAAGATCAGGATAATCAAACTGAAAAGTACCAAATGTTCAAACATCATTGGATATAGTTCAATTTTTACTTACAACTACAGCATACACAACACACTTTGTGAATCTCTAGAACCATAACTATCCATCCTTACCTCTAAACAGTGGCACCACCTCCCAGGCTGTGATAGGTCCTCCCCTCGAATACTGGCCTAGAATCATTTCCATGTAGCAGAGAGGGAAACCACAAACCATCACTAATATTAGGTAGGCCATGAAGAATACCCCTGTAGGTACAGAAATCAGTATATCTATTGAATTCACACTTATCTATATATACATCAGGTAGGACATGAAGAATACCCCTGTAGGTACAGAAATCAGTATATCTATTGAATTCACACTTATCTATATATACATCAGGTAGGACATGAAGAATACTCCTGTAGGTACAGAAATCAGTATATCTATTGAATTCTCTACACACTTATCTATATATACATCAGGTAGGACATGAAGAATACCCCTGTAGGTACAGAATTCTCTACAAATCTATATATATATCTATTGAACAGAAATCAGTATATCTACACACTTATCTATATATACATCAGGTAGGACATGAAGAATACCCCTGTAGGTACAGAAATCAGTATATCTATTGAATTCACACTTATCTATATATACATCAGGTAGGACATGAAGAATACCCCTGTAGGTACAGAAATCAGTATATCTATTGAATTCACACTTATCTATATATACATCAGGTAGGACATGAAGAATACCCCTGTAGGTACAGAAATCAGTATATCTATTGAATTCTCTACACACTTATCTATATATACATCAGGTAGGACATGAAGAATACCCCTGTAGGTACAGAAATCAGTATATCTATTGAATTCTCTACACACTTATCTATATATACATCAGGTAGGACATGAAGAATACCCCTGTAGGTACAGAAATCAGTATATCTATTGATTTCACACTTATCTATATATACATCAGGTAGGACATGAAGAATACCCCTGTAGGTACAGAAATCAGTATATCTATTGAATACACACTTATCTATATATACATCAGGTAGGACATATATATACAGAAATCAGTATATCTATTGAATTACACACTTATCTATATATACATCAGGTAGGACATGAAGAATACCCCTGTAGGTACAGAAATCAGTATATCTATTGAATTCTCTACACACTTATCTATATATACATCAGGTAGGACATGAAGAATACCCCTGTAGGTACAGAAATCAGTATATCTATTGAATTCACACTTATCTATATATACATCAGGTAGGACATGAAGAATACCCCTGTAGGTACAGAAATCAGTATATCTATTGAATTCACACTTATCTATATATATATACATGAAGAATACCCCTGTAGGTACAGAAATCAGTATATCTATTGAATTATCTACACACTTATCTATATATACATCAGGTAGGACATGAAGAATACCCCTGTAGGTACAGAAATCAGTATATCTATTGAATTCACACTTATCTATATATACATCAGGTAGGACATGAAGAATACCCCTGTAGGTACAGAAATCAGTATATCTATTGAATTCACACTTATCTATATATACATCAGGTAGGACATGAAGAATACCCCTGTAGGTACAGAAATCAGTATATCTATTGAATTCTCTACACACTTATCTATATATACATCAGGTAGGACATGAAGAATACCCCTGTAGGTACAGAAATCAGTATCTATATATCTATTGAATTCACACTTATCTATATATACATCAGGTAGGACATGAAGAATACCCCTGTAGGTACAGAAATCAGTATATCTATTGAATTCACACTTATCTATATATACATCAGGTAGGACATGAAGAATACCCCTGTAGGTACAGAAATCAGTATATCTATGAATTCACACTTATCTATATATACATCAGGTAGGACATGAAGAATACCCCTGTAGGTACAGAAATCAGTATATCTATTGAATTCACACTTATCTATATATACATCAGGTAGGACATGAAGAATACCCCTGTAGGTACAGAAATCAGTATATCTATTGAATTCACACTTATCTATATATACATCAGGTAGGACATGAAGAATACCCCTGTAGGTACAGAAATCAGTATATCTATTGAATTCACACTTATCTATATATACATCAGGTAGGACATGAAGAATACCCCTGTAGGTACAGAAATCAGTATATCTATTGAATTCACACTTATCTATATATACATCAGGTAGGACATGAAGAATACCCCTGTAGGTACAGAAATCAGTATATCTATTGAATTCACACTTATCTATATATACATCAGGTAGGACATGAAGAATACCCCTGTAGGTACAGAAATCAGTATATCTATTGAATTCTCTACACACTTATCTATATATACATCAGGTAGGACATGAAGAATACCCCTGTAGGTACAGAAATCAGTATATCTATATATTGAATTCACACTTATCTATATATACATCAAGGACATGAAGAATACCCCTGTAGGTACAGAAATCAGTATATCTATTGAATTCACACTTATCTATATATACATCAGGTAGGACATGAAGAATACCCCTGTAGGTACAGAAATCAGTATATCTATTGAATTCACACTTATCTATATATACATCAGGTAGGACATGAAGAATACCCCTGTAGGTACAGAAATCAGTATATCTATTGAATTCACACTTATCTATATATACATCAGGTAGGACATGAAGAATACCCCTGTAGGTACAGAAATCAGTATATCTATTGAATTCACACTTATCTATATATACATCAGGTAGGACATGAAGAATACCCCTGTAGGTACAGAAATCAGTATATCTATTGAATTCACACTTATCTATATATACATCAGGTAGGACATGAAGAATACCCCTGTAGGTACAGAAATCAGTATATCTATTGAATTCACACTTATCTATATATACATCAGGTAGGACATGAAGAATACCCCTGTAGGTACAGAAATCAGTATATCTATTGAATTCTCTACACACTTATCTATATATACATCAGGTAGGACATGAAGAATACCCCTGTAGGTACAGAAATCAGTATATCTATTGAATTCACACTTATCTATATATACATCAGGTAGGACATGAAGAATACCCCTGTAGGTACAGAAATCAGTATATCTATTGAATTCACACTTATCTATATATACATCAGGTAGGACATGAAGAATACCCCTGTAGGTACAGAAATCAGTATATCTATTGAATTCTCTACACACTTATCTATATATACATCAGGTAGGACATGAAGAATACCCCTGTAGGTACAGAAATCAGTATATCTATTGAATTCACACTTATCTATATATACATCAGGTAGGACATGAAGAATACCCCTGTAGGTACAGAAATCAGTATATCTATTGAATTCACACTTATCTATATATACATCAGGTAGGACATGAAGAATACCCCTGTAGGTACAGAAATCAGTATATCTATTGAATTCACACTTATCTATATATACATCAGGTAGGACATGAAGAATACCCCTGTAGGTACAGAAATCAGTATATCTATTGAATTCACACTTATCTATATATACATCAGGTAGGACATGAAGAATACCCCTGTAGGTACAGAAATCAGTATATCTATTGAATTCTACACACTACACACTTATCTATATATATCATAGGTAGGACATGAAGAATACCCCTGTAGGTACAGAAATCAGTATATCTATTGAATTCACACTTATCTATATATACATCAGGTAGGACATGAAGAATACCCCTGTAGGTACAGAAATCAGTATATCTATTGAATTCACACTTATCTATATATACATCAGGTAGGACATGAAGAATACCCCTGTAGGTACAGAAACAGTAATCTATCAGTATATCTATTGAATTCACACTTATCTATATATATACAGAAATCAGTATATCTATTGAATTCACACTTATCTATATATACATCAGGTAGGTCATGAAGAATACCCCTGTAGGTACAGAAATCAGTATATCTATTGAATTCTCTACACACTTATCTATATATACATCAGGTAGGTCATGAAGAATACCCCTGTAGGTACAGAAATCAGTATATCTATTGAATTCACACTTATCTATATATACATCAGGTAGGACATGAAGAATACCCCTGTAGGTACAGAAATCAGTATATCTATTGAATTCTCTACACACTTATCTATATATACATCAGGTAGGACATGAAGAATACCCCTGTAGGTACAGAAATCAGTATATCTATTGAATTCTCTACACACTTATCTATATATACATCAGGTAGGACATGAAGAATACCCCTGTAGGTACAGAAATCAGTATATCTATTGAATTGAACACACTTATCTATATATACATCAGGTAGGACATGAAGAATACCCCTGTAGGTACAGAAATCAGTATATCTATTGAATTCACTACACACTTATCTATATATACATCAGGTAGGACATGAAGAATACCCCTGTAGGTACAGAAATCAGTATATCTATTGAATTCACACTTATCTATATATACATCAGGTAGGTCATGAAGAATACCCCTGTAGGTACAGAAATCAGTATATCTATTGAATTCTCTACACACTTATCTATATATACATCAGGTAGGACATGAAGAATACCCCTGTAGGTACAGAAATCAGTATATCTATTGAATTCTCTACACACTTATCTATATATACATCAGGTAGGACATGAAGAATACCCCTGTAGGTACAGAAATCAGTATATCTCTAGGATGTTACACACTGACAAGATCTCACCATGTTTCCAGTAATTATCTGTACATCCTATGTCTTACCTCCACCATGTATTCTAGCCAGTTCTGGGAATTTGAGAACACCATGAAGTCCTGTCATAAACCCAGAACAGGCAAAGATATACTCGATCTGATTGCTCCATTGTGGAGTTGTCTCCCCTTGTGATGAACCTGATGTACAGGATCTTTCGTGAGTACAGGTCTCTTCTTCCTGTTCCATATTGCCTGCTGTGACAGAACTGGTATCATCATATTCTCCCTCTGATCCAACATAACTGTCCATCTGTAAAAGTAAGAACTCAGTTCAGATGCATAAAACACAGGTGTATAAACAAGAGGCCTGTTTAAAACACAAAGTGAACACAGGTATAACAGTGTAAAGTTTTGGTATAAAACATAAAAAGCAACTTGTACTTAGAGGTGTAAGTTTAAAACACAAAGTAAAAACTGATATCTAGGTGTAAAATATGGAAGTAAAAGTATAAATCTACAATCAAAATGTAAAAGTGAAGTTAAGGTGTAAAGGTGTGAAGTTAAGGTATAAAGGTATGAAGTTAAGGTATAAAGGTATGAAGTTATGGTATAAAGGTGTGAAGTTAAGGTATAAAGGTGTGAAGTTAAGGTGTAAATGTGTGAAGTTAAGGTATAAATGTGTGAAGTTAAGGTATAAAGGTATGAAGTTATGGTGTAGATGTGTGAAGTTAAGGTATAAAGGTGTGAAGTTAAGGTATAAAGGTATGAAGTTAAGGTATAAAGGTGTGAAGTTAAGGTATAAAGGTATGAAGTTAAGGTATAAATGTGTGAAGTTAAGGTATAAAGGTATGAAGGTGTGAAGTTAAGGTATAAAGGTATGAAGTTAAGGTATAAATGTGTGAAGTTAAGGTATGAAGGTATGAAGTTATGGTGTAAATGTGTAAAGTTAGGGTATAAAGGTATGAAGTTAAGGTGTAAAGGTGTGAAGTTAAGGTATAAAGGTATGAAGCTAAGGTGTAAAGGTATGAAGTTAAGGTATAAAGGTATGAAGTTGAGGTGTAAAGGTATGAAGTTAAGGTGTAAAGTATAAAGGTGTGAAGTTAAGGTATAAAGGTATGAAGTTATGTATAAAGGTATGAAGTTATGGTATAAAGCTATGAAGTTAAGGTATGAAGGTATGAAGTTGAAGTTGGTATAAAGGTATGAAGTTAAGGTATAAAGGTATGAAGTTAAGGTATAAAGGTATGAAGTTATGCTATGAAAGGTATAAAGGTATGAAGTTATGGTAAAGGTATAAAGGTGTGAAGGTTAAGGTATAAAGGTATGAAAATAAAGGTATGAAGTTATGGTATAAAGGTATGAAGTTATGGTATAAAGGTATGAAGTTAATGTATAAAGGTATGGTATAAAGGTGTATAAAGGTATGAAAGTATAAATGTATAAAGGTATGAAAAGGTAAATGTGTGAAGAAGTTAAGGTATAAAGGTGTGAAGTTAAGGTATAAAGGTATGAAGTTAAGGTATAAAGGTATGAAGTTATGGTGTAAATGTGTGAAGTTAAGGTATAAAGGTATGAAGTTAAGGTATAAAGGTATGAAGTTAAGATATAAAGGTGTGAAGTTAAGGTATAAAGGTGTGAAGTTGAGGTATAAAGGTATGAAGTTAAGGTGTAAATGTGTGAAGTTAAGGTATAAAGGTGTGAAGTTAAGGTATAAAGGTATGAAGTTAAGGTATAAAGGTGCGAAGTTAAGGTATAAAGGTATGAAGTTAAGGTATAAATGTGTGAAGTTAAGGTATAAAGGTGTGAAGTTAAGGTATAAAGGTATGAAGTTAAGGTATAGGTATGAGTTGAGTATAAGGTATGAAGTTATGGTGTAAATGTGTGAAGTTAAGGTATAAAGGTATGAAGTTAATGTATAAAGGTATGAAGTTAAGGTATAAAGGTGTGAAGTTAAGGTATAAAGGTATGAAGTTAAGGTATAAAGGTGTGAAGTTAAGGTATAAAGGTGTGAAGTTAAAGTGTAAAGGTATGAAGTTAAGGTATAAAGGTATGAAGTTATGGTGTAGATGTGTGAAGTTAAGGTATGAAGGTGGGGAGTTAAGGTGTAAAGGTATGAAGCTAAGGTGTAAAGGTATGAAGTTATGGTGTAAATGTGTGAAGTTAAGGTATAAAGGTATGAAGTTAAGGTATAAAGGTATGAAGTTAAGGTATAAAGGTATGAAGTTATGGTGTAAAGGTTTGAAGTTAAGGTATGAAGGTTGGGAGTTAAGGTATAAAGGTATGAAGTCAAGGTGTAAACGTGTGAAGTTATGGTGTATATGTGTGAAGTTAAGGTATAAAGGTGTGAAGCTAACCCTATCAATGGGTATGAAACAAAGATTTAAAAACAAAATGTTTAAATGTAAAATACAAACATAAAAATGTGCAGTTAGGTGTAACAAAACGATCAATGGCCAGCTGCAGCACTTTTGGACTCGATAAAATGAGTTAACACACCCACCACTGAAAGTAGTTACATCCCCAGAGGCTTTGCAAAATGCTTGCTGCTATAACAGTACACATGAATAAGTAAATTCTACTCTCAACCAACACTATCAAACTAACTACAACACTTCACATATATCACAACACTCAATTACAAAGGTCCCTCAATCCGAGGAAATGACCCCTCCAAACCTCTTCTAGCCCACCCTTACATTGTTCATTTTACTGCCTCTTTCTAACTCTACTTAAATACAAAATCACCTTCTAACATACTTCTGGTCAGGAATCAATTAAATGTATCTTTTTCAATAGTCCATTAGGTGTCCAAATTAACATCCTTCCCACAATCAAACCTCACACTTTATAGTGCACTGTTCTATACATCAGAATGTTAAAAAGATTCACAAACACTGTTAACATCTGTGTGGCTTTATTGAAATAAATGACTTCATTAACGAGGAAAGTCCACAGAGCAGCAAGAACCTAGTGTGATGACCTATAAATGGACACCAAAAATAAACTGAAGCACTTCTTTAACAACTAGCATCCAGTTCTTTGGATGGGACTTAAAATGGTGTCCCCATTTGAAAATGTACAACTCACATAATACAGATCCTCTGTGAAATGTCCTTGAAGAGATGGCATGTTACTGACAGCACAGAGGTCTGGTCAGCATATACTGGGTACATGATAACAAGGAGCATGACATTATCTCCTGCACCAAAATGTATATATATATAACTTCATATTACAATATCAGGTATTAACTCATTCTACCACTGTTGCTGATATCTTGATGTAGACGGTCTTTTACAGTTGATGTTTTATGAGTATGGTTTGGCATCATTCACAAATAAAATGATTCCAAAGTCAAATACACTTGTTGTATAATTTATTATGGGATATATTTTGTACAAAATTTCTGTTTTAAGTCTGTTTCCCGTTACATCAGTATTCTTCCACGTTTGAAACAAACAAACTAACCTACTCATTTTTCTATCTTTTCTCGTCAGCTGAAAGTCCATAAGAGTGGACGTTAAGACTTAAATAAATAAATAATTCAAAAGTATGGATCGCTTGGTATTCAATGCTATTTCAATGAAGATAGGTTAAGGTCACATCTTTTTCACAAACTTAAGTCTGGCTTAACCTCAGGAAGCTATCAGCCAAATATCAAGATTCTTTTAGTTAATCAGAATGAGTTGCTTAAATGTTTTAACGTATTTGACTTATGTAACCTTCAATGTGAGTCAAGGTCATTTTTTCACAAACATTGTCTAGCTTCATGTAAGGAACTTTACAACCAAACACCATGATTCTATGTCTATTGGTCAATAAAAAATGCTGTACAAAGGTTTTCACAATTTTTATCCTTGTGACCTTGAAGATGACTCAAGGTGATTTCTATTTTGCAAACTTTCTTCAGCTTATCCAAGCAACCTCCTAGGCAAATAGCATGATTCTCGGCTTTTTAGTTATTGAGAAGAAGTTGTTTAAAAGGTTTCAACAAATTTGACCCCCGGCCTTGAATATGGGTCAAGGACATTTCTTTTAGCAAAGCTTTTTGGGCTTCATCCAAGAAATGTTTGCACCTTTGGGCCAGATGAGCTAAACAATGATGAAAAGTGTTGTAGGTTCTAGTGTTAATTTGGAATAATTGATGTGAAGTATGACATTTTTGTAATACTATTCTGTTATAACATTTTATGTTTAGTCTATCAATTTCCAAATACAAATAGGATGTGTAATTAAAGGGAATATCAAACTGCCGAGCATTAAGATAAAGACAAAAATTGACTGCACACAACAAGAAACCGACAGCATTATACCATAACATGATTTTTTGGCGAGTCGTTGATTCATCATCTTTGTTACAGTTAATTATAGAGATAGTATTAAAGGACAGTCTAACCTCAGATTCTCTGGCTGAACAGGAACTGAAGGTAAATTATAAAAGAGATAATGTACCCTTTGTATTGAACTTTTATTTTATAATTACACCTAATTTTACCAAATCTTCAAAGGTCGACAAGAGAGCCAAATTATTCAACAATAATTACTGTCTGGCAATTCTAAAGTGGGACCAATCCACCAACTGCTGAGAATGGAATTAGGAATCCAAGATGGATGGTTTCCTGTTTCCCTGACTTTTTTTCCTCCAACCCCATGACTCAAAAAGAAATCAAAAAAACAAAAAAAAAAAAAAAGCAAAAAAAGAACATGAATAAAACAGAAAAAACAAGAGATCCCAGAGGGATCTTGGCGCCCACCATTTGAGGATCTGTTTTCAGTTCTTGAAGATTTTTGTTTGTTTGTTACAGGTGTTGTAAATGTTCATGAACTGGTCTTCATTGAATGTACTCAATGATGGCACAAGATATTTTTATTAAGCACCTATTAGCAAATATCATTTGAAAAAGATCCCAAAGTATTATTAGATAGCAGTCAGTTACAGGTGGATAATGGACAATATGTTTGTGCTGTATTACTGTTGACATCAAAGATGGTGGCCCACTTGATTTTAAATCAGTCCAAAAAAGGTACAATGCACAACTAGGGACCAAGGGAAACCAATATCTATGAAATATCAGAAGGATCCATCCAGTACTTCCTCAGATATAGCAGTAACAAGATTTTACTCTCAAAATCCAAGATGGCTGCCTGTCAGCCATCTTGATTTCAGATCAGTCCAAAAAGGTACCATGCACAACTAGGGACCAAGGGAAACCTGCATATGAAATTTGAGAAAGATCCATCCAGTACTTTTCCAGAAATAGCGGTAACAAGAATTGTTGACGGACAGATGGACACCTAGACGCCTGGACG